GGACTGGGAGAACAAACTGCAATTTAACAATGAACCTGAGTTGATATGAAATACTCACTAGTACACAAGTAGTGTTAAACAGCTGTAACTAGACCTATACAAATGCCTAATGAACTCATCTTTGAGTACCAATTGAGTAAACTAAAGGTGTTTTAGAGATTACCTTACCATATAATGTATTACTCCAAAGAAATGAAAGAACAAATATCATTTGATGTTCTGTTTTTTTTTTCATGCAGAAATGGTACGGCTCAAAACAGCAGAGTGCATGGCTGTGTTTGTTCACTTTAAGAAAGGAGACATCAGGAATCACATTCTAAAAAGAAAACATCCTCGGACTTCACACAATCTACTAAATCTAGCTTTGTTGGCGTGTCAATGCAAAATGCCTTCATTACATCAAATAACTATTTAAAGAGAGTTGAGGTTGACCCCAAAAAAACCCTGCTTATTTTGGTCTATTTGGTCTAACACAAGCTTTAACCTTACAACAAACTTTAGTCTTAAAACTTTGGAGTCTAATGGAAAATGTCTGTAACTTAACAAAAGTCAGACAGGACTGTTAGCTTCATTGAGAAAGATATAGGCTATACTTGATTGGCCATATACAAACAAATTAGAGCTATTTTTGTGAAGTCGATGGTATAATGTGCTCAGTTATGAATGTCATGGTATATCTTTTCATTACAGTCTCACTTTGTAAACTATATGTTTCCTCCGCTGTAGTTAAAGTTCAGTCTGTAACTGGCTCCATCAAGTGTTTCAGCATTTTCCTCTGAGAATTCTGCTTTTGTGTTAATACAGTAAAAAAATTTTTTACTCCATCCTGCCGCGTGCATTTCCATAAACACTGCACGCCTCACAAATCACTTCAAACCACTGTGACTTGTGAAGGCAACCTTAAGTGGGCTGAACACTTAAACCGTGATTCACTATGCAATGGATAGAACATGCTGTGTGTGTGACAAAGTGTCTCACTGCATTTGCAGTCTATTGCTCATAACTTTACATATTTATCAAATCATATCAGCTCCACTTCTTCTCCCACATCAGACTGTTTTTGCTCTGGATTTAATCAGCCCATGCAAGCCTGCTTTTCCCACTAAACCAGGCTGCAGCTTGAGGGCCCCCAAGTGAGGGCCCCCGTTTTGTCCTCCCAGTTTGGACTAAACCCAGTCAATTTGAGTCCCTCTGCATTAATTCGAACCTGCTAAGCTAATAAGGTCGAACAAGTCTCTTTGTATTGTCGTGTTAAGCTTTATTGCTTGTCGTTTTGACCAGCGATGAACAAGGTAGGCTTTGATGAGGGAATTAGTCCTCTATTCTGTCCCTGTTATTCATGGCGTGGAGGAACATACAAGCAGCAGAGAGGGTGTCAAAAGGAGAGCTGGTCCTATTGCAAAGTGTCTCCCTTGTTGGAGCTGAAAGGGCGGTTATGAGACGATAAACCGCTTAATACACTGAGTTAATTGGATGAGAGCAAGAGAGACGGGGAATTAAGGGGCGATCCGAGAGGGGAGCGGAGTGCCATGGCCCGGCTATTCAGGTCTTTCATCGGGGCCGGTTCTCCGCCTGAGGGGGGAGGAAAGAGTGCGAGTGAAGGGGGGGGGGGGGAGGGAGCAGGGGGTGAGTCTGTTCATCAAAGCGCCTTTTAGAGCGCCTCTCCCGGGGACTGAGTGAGGGACTGATCCGGGCTGAGACTGTGGAGTGATTGGGTCTATTCTCCCTCAGTGCGCGGACGCGGTGGGAGAAACGAGGTCCGGGAGAATCCAAATCACGGAGCCAAATCAAGTCCAGCGGCTCTACAGAGGAAAGGGAAGAGGGGGGGGAGGGAAAACGGTGATGAAAATGGGCTCAAGTCAGTGGGAGGACATTTTCTGGACACCTGGGTTAACCTGTAAGAGAGAGTGGGGAGGGGAGGAGGGGGGGGGTGGTTTCAAGATCTAGCGCATTGATACAATCTGTCAAATCATGTAGATTTTTTTTTCTTCTTTTATAAAGCGTCGGATGATTGGACTGAATTCATATTTTTTCTCTTTATATCAACATCCATTATAAAGATCATTCATGCAACAAGAAGCCTGATCCCCACATGGGCCATGTTTTAAATGAAAGAAGCACACATCCAACAAGTGTGACTTTATAAATCCACAGCCATTGCCCTGTGACAGCATTTCAATTTTCTCGCCTTTTTGCGCCGCAAAGAAAAGTTTAAGCCTCGAGCCCAGCAGGTCACCCGCCTCCCGGCATTCCCCAGATATTAGGGACAAATTGGTTTGCCATTCATTAGTTATATTCACAATAAGATTAAAAAAAAAAAAAACTCCCCGGACAAATCATCAAACCCCTATAGAGCCACGCAGGAAAAACACACATGCTCCAATGAGCTTCAGCAAAAGACGGAATTTTAAAAGACATCACACATTGTGGAGGATGGTGGCTGCACAGGAGAAAATTGCTTTTATTTTGTTCCTTTCCTTTCCTTTTTTTTTTTTTTTTTTTTGCATTATGCTCCATGAAGCAGCTAGGTGACTTTGTGCGAGGCTGTGAGTGTGTTTGGATAAATTAATGCGCAGAAGAATCTCTCCAGCAGTCCCTTATCTGGATCTAATTCCTGCTTGTTTTGGACTAAATTGAGTGATTAACAGGTGTAAGACCTCGCGAGTCTTATGAAACAAAAGAAACAAGGAGAAGGGTTTTTTCTTTTTCTTTTTTCTTCTTCACAGATGCAGACAATAAAAACTGGGACTACTTTAATCCGCAGGGTAATTTCACGCGATTTGGACGGGCACCATAGCTGGGTCAAACGGAGGGGAATAAGCATTGATTGCTGTAATAGTCCTGCACTGGTTGTGAGATCCAATGCAGAGAGGGGATTTAACTCTCCGATGTGTGTGTGTGTGTGTGTGTGTGTGTGTGTGTGTGTGTGTGTGTGTGTGTGTGTGAATGCCGGTTGATGGAGTGGTTTGTTACTTCATTAATGACAAAAGGGACTCGCTTCCATCGACATGGCATTACAGATGTTAAGACCAATTTAGCGCCTTTAAAGGGTCTTAAAGGAAGTTTTGTGTCGGCCCCCCAGATAAAGTGGGCGATCTAATTGAAAACCCCTCTCCTTTGTCGCACGCTTCACATGTTGGGGATTAAGCTCATGAATATATGGTCAGTATTTTGTCAACTGCGCTGAAGAGGAGAGACGCACGCAGCGCGCGGGATTACGCATCTAATAGTTTGTCCTATTCAGGTGCAGCATTGCGCCTCAATGTATGCGCTCTGCAGTGACAAATTCCTCCTTTTCAACACTAGAGATCCTGTGAATTAAGTTGTGTAATTTGTTCATTCCAAGCGAGCATTGATCAACATTTATGTCTAATTAAAATACAGCAGTTGTATCATCAAATACAAGTTAGGTATAATGTGAAGACAGAAAACACGTTTTCTTCATTACACCTTTATTAATAGTTCTATTATATTCTATTTCACATTGTTTTATTTTCCTGGTTTAGGCCTATGTCAGTCTTAAAGTATTTTGAAATCATAATAAAAGATAACTCATTTAACCAGTGTAATTTATTCAAATTAGCATTAATAAACCAGGAAACTTACAATCACTTCATAAGAAAAACATCTTTCCTTCATTCTGCTCCACCAGGGGGCGGGGGGGAATTTTGACATAAATAATGATCTAAAAAGCTAATAATTCATCAACACAGGTGAAAGTCTACACAGGGTAACATTCATTAAACACTACACTGAGTGCAAATGATCTCCTCAAATATACACAACCTTATTTTTCGAAAATCATCCTTCTTCTGGTTCCTATTTTTTCCTTTTTACACAATATGTACAATTTTCTTTCACACAGTCAGGTCATTAGAAAGTACACAGCTCAGACCCCGACTCTGCTTGCATGTCCTGGAGCCAGACTCAGCAGTAATGCCACTTCTCTCAAAATAAAAGAGGGGGAAGAGGGATCTCAAATGCAGCAAATGCACAGAAATCTGAAAGAACTGGTTTGGTTCAGAGATATAAAATATATTTATTCAGTGGTGTTGCTGAGTGTGACTGGGGGACATGCAGGCCAGCAGTGGAGTGGAGAGTCCAGCCTAAACAGAAGGCGATGGAAGGTCTGTGGACAGTTTTTCCTTTGGTTCTGGGTGGGTTTTGGGGGGGTGGGGGGGGACCTCTTCCAACATGTCTTTACTACAGACACACACTGTCTCATCCCACATCAATGCATACAGATAAAGCAGAGTTAATGTCGAACACTCGAGTTGTCCACGTTTTGAAGAAGCACAAGAAGTCGTTTATTGTCTTATTGTGTGTGTCTCTGTTTGTGTCTGCTTTTTGTCTGTGTTTTGTGTGTGTAAAACTCCAGATCCTTAATGTAAAAGTAACTAAAGCAATCTGTTACATGTCAATGTCCTGTTTTAAAATAATAACTTCCAATTAAAGAAATATTTGAATCAAAATGAACCTGGTGTATAAAAAGTAAAATAGTCACTTCAGAAAAAGTGTTTCTTTGACCCATACAACTTTATCATAAATGACTATAAGATGAGAACTCAGGCCTTAATGTGTGAGTCATGTTTACTTTTCTATACTGTTGACTTATTAACAAGTGAAAAGTTCAATATTTCCTTCTGAAGTGCAGTGAAGCAGGAGCACAAAGTGGCATTGAAGATGATTGCTGTAGTAGAAGTACTTTTTTGTACTTGAGTAAATCTACTTAGTTACATTTCCCTGAGTGCACAGCGCTGTGTGCACTCAGTGTTTTGTTTTTTTTGTCAGTAGTACTTGATAGTTATTGTACTTTTTATGGGGACTACATTTTAAGTTCAATTTATGATTTTCTTTTTTATAAACAAACTATTTTAAATGTAATATTTTTGAAGATATTGTTAATTTTCTAGAACTATTTACAAATAAAAAAAATGATTGGCCCTTAATTAATGAAGGTGTGTGTATGCAGTAAAACAATGTGAATATAGCTGTTATTACCAGAGACACACAAACACACAACTTTTTTTTTTTTTTTTTTATAGCTACTGCTCTTCCTTAATTTGGTTGTGCTATTTTGTCGGGGAATCTTGAGGTAACGGGGGACAGTCGGACAAGAGGGACATCAGTCTCCAGAGGTATGAGTGGGTTGTTTTGGGGGGGTGGTGGGTGTCATGGAATGGGACGTCAGCCCAGGACAGAGAGGCCTAAAGCTGGTGTCGAGTGTTCAGCACACCTCCTTCCCTGCTGCTCCGGCAGGCAGGATGTTCAGCTGGGTAAGCTGAGCCGAGTGTTCCTTGGCCTTGAGGCGCAGTGCTGCGATGCTGGAGGCCCTGCGGTCTGCTGAGTTGGAGGAAGAAGAGGAAGGATCGGGGACGACTGGGCCCGCGTGAGGGGGGTTCTCTACAGGAGGGGCAGGCTGGCGGAGGAGAGCTGCAGCAGTGGAAGCACTGGTCAGGGGCCCCATACTGGAGAAGAGCCTGAAAGGAGAAAGGTATTTAACATTATTTGACATGTATGGATCTTCAACATGTTTACAATAAAGAGTTAAAATTATTGCACATAAAAGTCTTAAAACTTTTTTATTTTTTTTATTTTTTATGCTTTTATTGGAGCTTTGTGTACTCTATATTTTCTGTCTAGCGTAAAACCCCTTCCTGTAAATGTTCACTCTTGGATGAATTTTTTCAGTCGTCTTAAATACATGAATTGCATGTATTATTGTATTACTGTATTATTATTAATTTAATTTATTATTAAATTTAACAAAGAGATTGATGATTCCAAATAGACAAGAGTTGAAGAAAATGATGAACTACAGTTTAGCATGCATATGTCATGTGCAGTGTCATCCCTCCTCACAGCTTATCTTGCAGAGTCACACATTTAGTTAATTTATTTTGCCATTTAACAAAGTGAGATCACCCCACCACTGGGTGTTAAGCACTGTGAAGTAAACAGTAATTGTAATAGAGTTATTAGAGTTGCATGCTGTGTTGGGAGTTCAGTATAAGCATGGCTGCTGTGCATTTTCTGCACATGCTCTCTACAAAAATTGTAGTAATTTTCTATAAAATACAGGGATGAATGTTTAGGCCTTCAGGTACAGAAATTGGCAGGTTCTGGTGTAAATAAGTATAAAACAGGTGTTAGGGCTGTTTCTGGGTGCGGCTTACCTGCCAAAGGTGGGTCCAATGAAGGCAGGGTGCCGAAACATGGCAGCCGTGCCCAGAAAAGTGCCTAAGCCGAGTGGGGTGGCCAGGGGCGGAGCAGAGCCATTGTGAGGAGGGGCCAGGCCAGGGAAGGCAGCGGCTGCAGCTGCGGCGGCTGTCCAGGCGGACTCGAGGGCAGGGTGGTGGTGATGAGGGAAGGGCCCGCCCTCCAGGTAGTGGCTGAGAGGGTGGCCTGCTGCCAGGGGACCAGGGAAGGGGAGGCCCGATGGGTGGGCCTGCACCCCGGCCTTCTCACGCTTCCTCCATTTGGCCCTGCGGTTCTGAAACCACACCTGAGGTCAAACAGAAGTGATGACAGAGAGGTTACAATGGGTCAAATCATCTCTTTTTTAGAAGTTAAGATATCATAGTAATTGGTTCTAGGGCGATGGCTTCATATGATATAAAGCTAAATGGTATGACATAAAAATGCATCTTAAATCTTATCTAAATGACAAGATGCTCAGTTTAAAACCACTTATTATCAAGTGTAACTCTCCTGTCCTGCTTGCATAGCAGGAATGTTTCATTATAATTGCCATCACTACACTCTATTGAATGTTGTGTCAGTGCAGTCTAATAGTTGTCTGCTTCAGGTGGTGTCCAACAGGCGGAAAGTCAACGGTAATTACACGCGAGGTAAACCCTGCCGCTCACGGTCCTTTAAATCTACTTTCTGTCTAATTAACACCCCCTCCTCCACCCTCCATGTCCCTGTGGACGGGCTTCAGGGAGGGTAGGGGGGGAGATAATTAAGAGCGGTGTTAACAAAAGATCCAGAAAATTACCGCTGAACTGGCTCCAATAACAATTAATGCGCTTTAAATTAAATTCTTTAAGAGATGTAGAACAAGTGACTTCCATTCCGGAGAGTATTTAACTTTCCCACGCATCCTCTGTTGGCCAGTTTGCTCTGTAGACGCACAATGAGCAAAATGTCAACATGAGGAAAGTGATTGAACGGGCAGAGCTTGAGCGACACACACATTATTCCCAGAGGGCTGTTTAGCATTACACAGCCCCTCGGGAATTTATGAGTTTTTATCACCTCCCCGATGGCGCCCGTTAAGTGATTTGTTCACCTACGGCCCCCTTAAAGAGACATCTGTTGTTTTACCGTCGGCCATAACCCTCCCAGAGCTTTCCGCCGTGTTTGAACTGTCTCTCTGGTTATGAGGCCGGGCTTTCGACATGCAAGACACGCTTTCAGAGCAAAGCAGAAAGAGAAAAAAAAAAGAGGGAGATAGAGTGGAGGGGGGGTGGGTGGGGGGGAGGGGGGGGGAGCAAACACCTTTAATGGTCTCTCATTCGCTCCCAAGTGCAAAGCATCGGATCAATGCAGGTCTATTGCAATCACATAATGGGAAATCAAATAGCATTATCCCTCCCCTCTTTCTGTCTCACCCCTCCCTCGGCACATCTTTTTTTGCGCACACCCCCTTCCTCCATCCCCCCCCCCCCATCTCTCCCTGATGGGAATTCAAACACCATCTCATCACCAGGAACATACACAGTGTTTGCTCCTGCACTAAGTGAGCTCTTTATGAATCGCCAGCGTCGCCTTAATTGCCTCTAAAACGTCCCCCGTCCGCGCATAATAACATTCAATAACAGGAAAGACCTTCCCCGCGCGGCGCACGAGGCCATTTAACACTTTTTTTTCTACTGTAATAAATTACTGCCTCAAATTGGCCCGTACTCGTTGATCCTCAATCAGTGACGCATATCACCGGTTATTATCCAGCAGGGACATTTTATAGTCGACATAAAACATTGAAAGGTGCTTGTTTTTCTCCAAAATTTGATTTACAAGCTTCTTCTTCTCTTTTTTTTTTCTCCAGATAAACAGAGAGCCACTTACTTGAACGCGGGCCTCGGTGAGATCCAGACGCATCGCGAGCTCTTCTCTGAAAAGAATGGAGGAAAAAAAAGAAAAGAAAGAGGAAAAGAAAAAAAAGATTCAGGGTTGCAGGCCTCAGCTTGGAAGCAAAGCAGAATTGCTGTTTTGTTCCCTCCTGTTGTTCACTGTCAACAATGGACGCAAAAATGGGTTTGATTTTTTTCATGGGCCTCAGAAAGACGCCATATAGCCATATTATATTTTCCCTGTCGCGGATGGGTAGAAATAGGCCCTATGATTGTTAGATTTTTTTTTCCTTAGCACAGGCCTGTCACTGTAACAACATAATGGGGGAAATAATGACATCTAAACTAGCCTGCCACAAAGCAATTGACGCTGCATTCAGCTGCAAGATGGACCTGCAGTGGAAATTAGACCTACAAGTCGCTTTAGGGTGAATCGATTGGAAAATATGAATAATCTCAATGGTGATAAAATATTTAAATGTAGGTTGTCGTGTCTTGACGTTTCGGGAAAGCTTCCATATATAAGCAAAAACGTAGAACATAAAATAGTTTATTAATCATATGTATAGGGGGTATTGTTTTTATTCCAGATTTTAAAAAGCATGTAGCATTTTGTTTTGCTATAGAACCACTAATTGTATTTTTCCCCAGTGTCTTATAAATCTCTGCATAGTTTTATCTTTGTGTTTTTCTGCCCTTGGGCTTGAGGTCAGGCCCTGGCATGTTTTTTTTTTCTTTGCAGGATGTTCCTTTCCCCATCATGTCCGATATGTAATCTGATCTGCAGCGGTCAATTTTTCCTCCTAAGAATAACACAACAGTCCTCTGTATCAGTTGCAGCAGATACGGTAACAAAACGTTCCCATTGTTGGCACTTGTAGGCCTTTTGTGTTAACTAATGCAGGGCACGGCTTTTCTTTAGTGACACCTTTTTTTAAAATAGGTGTGATCCACACAATGTCTAGTTGAAGACGTAAGGAATTACTGGAGTTTTGCGGGGACATATGCAATTGGAATTGTTTAGGCTATTTAAAATACAAAGAAAATATAATCACCTTAAAAAAGGCGTTAAACAATAAAACGTTTCATTTCTAGTTTATTTTATTTCAAGTTGATATAAACCAACTATTAGTAAAAATTAAAAAAATACATGCTATTATTATTAAAGGTTCTTAATTTAAAAAAAATAGGTTAAATGCAAACTAAAATAGGGCACATTTTTGTCGTTTGTATTTTTAAAAAGGCAATACAAAATTTGAAAAATTTTAATAAGCTATATGCAAATTTTAAAATGATAATTTATGGGAATACTTAAATAATTTAAGAGCACAGTAAATAATAGGCTACCAAAAAATATTTTAAATAGGCTTAGTTTGAAATAGTTTTTACCTGGTAAACACGTCGGGGTAATGTGTCTTCTGGAAAGCTCTCTCCAGTTCCTCCAGTTGGTAACTGGTAAATGTAGTCCTGTATCTTCTCTGCTTCCGTTTCAGCATCCCTTCCTCTGAATCACTGCCCGCCGACAGACACACGCTGTCCTCCCCGTCCCTCACGTCCCCATCCCCGGCGTTCAAGCTCTCTCTCTCCTCGTCCTTCGGGGACAGAGCGACCGGGTCCCCGCAGCTCTCCTCCTTCCCCGTGTCCTCCTCGAACTTCAGTGGGCCGAGCTCCACCAGTCCCAGACTGCTGTCCTCCGAGCCCTCGCCCGGGCTCCGGTCGCCCTCTCCCCGGCTCAGAGACGCGTTCTCCCGGTAGGATTTGCTGCGGCTGATGCTCACCTGTGGCGCCTGGCTGATTTTAAGGCTTTCACTTGCCTGCTCCAGGAGGAGCCGCTCCCGGTCCAGACTCTCCGTGTGCTCATGGAGGTACTTGCCGCCGGGTCCGTACAGTCGGCGGAGCTTTGGTGGCAGGTGCATTTCTGCGCTGAGGGAAAGTGGGTCTTTGGTTGTTCCTGAGGAGGAAGGAAGGATGTCAACAATGTCAAAATAATAGATAAACAATGGACTGCGTAAGCTTTACATTTAAATTGCAAAATAACCTAGGAGTAGGCTAAGCAATTCTTCACTTAAACTACAGGCTGCCTAAGTTAAAACACAACAACTGTCTTTGCTGAACATAAAAACAACCATCAAGCTGTGGTTTTTACAACTTGACTTTTAGTAATAAAACTAGCAAAATATAGGCCTACAACATTGTATTTTTATCCGCTACAATGCCCCTCAAGGACAAACGTCGGCTGTTACATTTCCCTTCAAAGGAGACTTACTGTCAGCCGTCTTGTCGAGCTCCCCTCTCCCGGGCAGACCCGTCAAACTTTGCGCACCGATCAGCCGGACCTTGCAGGGGCTCCTGCGGCCCAGAATGCTGTCTATGCAGTAAGAGGAGAGCAGCGGCGTCGGGGATTTACTGCTCTTCCTTTCGGCCCGGTCGTGGATATCTTCCTCAAACTGGCCACTCATATCGACGCTTCGGTTCGTCTAGTTTCGGTAGCACCTGTCAGTCTCCCCCTCTCTCTCTCTCTCTCTCTCTCTCTCTCTCTCACCCTCTCTCGCGCACAGGATCTATTGCCCTCTTTTTTTGCTTCTTCTCTGTCTTCTCCTCCTACCTTTCTTCACTTCGCCTACCTCTCTCTCTCTCTCTCCTGTTACACTCCTCTGTCACGCTCTCTAATGACAGGCAGTGGTTTGACTGCCTCGCGCAGCTCTACGGCTCCACGCGCTCGCTCAGCATACGTATGGGCTGTTGTTGCGCTGCCTGATTGGCTCGTATGTGTGTGTGTAGGGGGAGAGACAGCGCGGAGCTGCTTTATATATTTTACGATTAAAGTTAATTTGAGGGAAAGGTAACAAAACCCGACACGGACTCCGTTTTTCTCGGTGGAACGAACTCTGTTGATAAAGTAAAGCTGAAGACTTTTAAATCAGGGTTTTCTCTTCGAAGTCCACTAAAGTTTCATATTAAAAAGGAAGGCCTATCAGAAAGTTTCACGAACAAAAAAGCATCAGTACTGAACTGAAAGTATTTGTTATTATTGTATTATGTTTAATCACAGTTTTGTAATGAACACTGGTGTGTTTTCTTAACATAAATGAATTAATGTACACATTCAGGCCTACCAGCACAATGACTGTTTGTCAAACAAAAGACAACACCAACATTTTCTTTTACACTTGTAGACGAGTGGCATATCTGGAAATTTAAATAATAATGGTGGAATTCAATTTAAATATTTTTTAGTTAGTTCCTCATTGCGCTTTCAGACTGTCTTAAGAAGGCTAAAGTGAGAATATCATTGATCTTATTGGAAGCGTTTTCATTAATAGCCTATAACATGTTTTTATTCTACAAGTTAGAAATCTGCTGCGGAACTGGCTTCTCTCTACACTGTTTTGTGACCAATCCTCCCATATAGTCTATAAAATGACATGGTGTTGGCTATTTCTTCATTTACTCAACGTGGTGTTAAACTAGCTATTTCTTTTCACATTTCTTTTTTTATAGGTCCCAAATGATAACAGACACAGAATCATTATATTTTATTCATAATTATTATAATAATGTAATTTAAAAAAATCACAGTATGTTGATACCAGCAGTGCAGTCATTATAATTATACAGAAAAAAACACAATAGTATAAATAGTTATGAAAGTAACAGTTAATAATTATACATATAAAACATTTTAAGGAATCATGACAAAAATATTACAAGACAGAATATATGCCTGAGTTTTGGGTCTTTCTTATTTACCACTCATAAATAACTTGTTTTTTGATGGATGTACATATTTTCCGGGGCCTTAAAAGAACTGTCTACAATCCCAATGCCAAGTTTCAAAATAATCTGGCACGGAGTTTCTGTTGAACCAAAAACAGCACCTGCTAGAGCCATGTCAGAGGCTGGGTAACAGAAACATCAACATTTGGATCAGAAATGAAGTGAACATTTTATGTAATTTTGACATAGAAAAATATCTATCTGTCTGTCTGTCTGTCTAGCTATCTATCTGTCTGTCTGTCTGTCTGCCTGTCTGTCTGTCTGTCTGTCTAGCTATCTGTCTGTCTGTCTGTCTGTCTGTCTGTCTGTCTGTCTAGCTATCTATCTATCTATCTATCTGTCTATCTATCTATCTATCTATCTATCTGTCTATCTATCTATCTGTCTATCTATCTATCTGTCTGTCTATCTATCTGCAGTCTTTCCCTCAGATTGTGTTGTCTCTGTTGGAGTTGCAGATTGGCTTAAAAAGTGCGGGTGGCGCGCTTGTGATGAGAAGGCGCACGGGGAGCCGGGGTGGCACGCGGGGACTCCTGCGTGGAGAGGGGGAGAGATGGAGAGATGGATCGAGAATGTAATTTTAAATGAAAGTCTATTTAACCCGCTGTGAATGGCATGACCCTTATCCTCGCCTCAGAGCCCATCACTGTTAAAAGGATCATTTTCAGAATTCAATCCAAAAACTTCAGCAAGCTGCAATTTACTCTCTCACTCTCTCTCTCTCTCTCTCTCTCTCTGTGTCTCTCTCTCTCTCCCTCTCTTTTTTCTTTCTCCCTCTCTTCCTCTCTTCTCCCCCCTCCCTCAGTTATGTATCTGCCCGGGCTGGAGATTCGCAGCAAAAGTAAAATAACAATGACATATATGTCCAGAAAATTGCACAAGTTATTTTTCTTCTTTTATCTATTTTTTAAGACATACCTTTATGAACTTGTGTGATTGAAACTGGAATAAGAGTGCCATTGATCTGTTCAGTTAAGTTGCAGGCCGCTTATAGATTTACCTCAGTTTTCGACTGTTTTCATTTCATCGAATAGCCTGAAAAAAGTCACAACGTAGACATCATAAAATATCTTGAGAAGCACTTCTGTCGAAAAAAAAAACTGGCCCTCTGACCGCATTAACCTTTTAGTTGAGTTCATTTTTCGTTGATGGATATAGCTACATTAACTCGGAGGCAATAATCAGTGTCATTATGTTGTCTTATGCATTCGTACAACATGCTCTTACATTATTGTATACAGGTGTTTTGAGTCAGACTCCATCCATCCGTAACTTTAGTTGGTGTCACAAACTTCCGCGCTTGTTTATTTGCACGCAAATCAATGTAATGAGTGTAATAACAATATAAAATGGTCTGCCTTTTCCTGCGCGGTCACAAACAGACGTGCGTAATACAGACGGGTATTTAGAGTCGCTCTGTAATTTGGGGGCCACAATTTGATTCATTTATCCGCACACTGTTATTAACCCTGTGGAAAAAGAGATGTCAGCCGCCATTTCAGCCAGCAGGACATCCGCGCTTTGTTTAAATGCACTAATTACGCGCATACATTAGAGAGGGGACGGAATAGTCAGAGCGCAATTTTCACATTTTCAATTTTCCGTCTGTTTGACGTGCAGGTGAAGAGATGGCGGAGAGCGGCCGCCTTCCTGTTTCTGAACCTCCTCAACACCGCCTCCTTTGTATTTGCATAACATCAGGGTCGATCATATCCAGGGGAAACACTAGGTAAGATGCTATTTATGGGTTTCCAGCTCAGCTGTACTGGTGCCGTGGCACGGACCAAAAACACAATGTTTTGTGGTTTTTCTGGTGTCATGCACTTTTCACTTTTCTTTAAACATACATCAATTAATAGAAGTTTTTCTTTTTGTATTAAAAACATGCTAGGAAACAGCCATGGTGACAACTTTCTCTTTATTGACGCATATTTTCTGTGCTTCCTTTGCAGCCCATATCTCGGCCTCTCTATTAAAGGCCATGACAGCGATACAAATGGTCCATCATTTAGAGGAGCAGCAGTCTGTACTTTGCTATGAGGGTCATTCAACTGGCTCCATCTCCTGGCAAAATAGGAAACTGCTTCAACAGGTAAGAACCAGTTTACAACATATAAAACACACAAATGTTTCTGAGGATGTATTCACTTAAAGTCGAACGTCAAGACACCTGTAAAGGACAGGTATGTTCTACTTTTGCACATCCCAGAATAAACATGTTTGTCTTCTATTTGGCAGTTATTCCTTAAGTGTTTTGTTAAGCGACGATAATAGACATTGGTCCCTTACATGCACAAACTGGCTCGTGGCCGTGGTGACGAAAGCTCATCCTCCATCCGTCCTGGCGCTCTGACATAATTGGACACTTGCTCTCCTTAAGAGGCCGAGCAGGAAAAGAAGGAAACGAGGGAGGAAGGGAGAAATAAGAGTGTGTCTGTGTGTGTTGGGAGGGATGGGAGGCTTTTAAGGCGCGCGTAAGCAAAGTTAATTAGCGGTTATTAACAGCCCGCATAATGAGAGCGAGAGGGAGTCAATTTAATGACTTTGTTAGCGCGGGTTCAGAGCGACAGGCGATGATCGAAACAACAAAGGCGAGCGCGCACGCAGCCATCAGCCGTAATTTCCAGCGGTAATGCGGTCTGATCAGAAACAAAGGGTTCTAATTTCGTTCAACTGACTCGATAATTTGTCCTTATGTAAGAAAAATAATTAATGACTTAATGCTTCAACAGAAGGAGCTTTCTTCTGGGGAGGGGGCTTTCGGATGCCTCCTTTGCTGGAGAAGGTCGTAAGGAAATCAATTTCGAGGCCTATAATTATTTGCATCATGAATTTAAAACGTGGACGTGTGCAGACGTGTGAAAGTCTATTAGAAGGGGAAAGAAGAAGCCTCCAAATCCCTTTTCCTACATAACAAAATATGTGTGGCAACAAGTGAGTCGTTATAATAATGTTGTGTTTACCATTAGAAAAGGAAAGCACGGCTGATTTACAAGAATAAGAGGGAATTTAGGTTTTTAAAGCTCATAACAAACTATAAGCTATAAAGTATTCCAGTTTAAGAGCTTTCATCACACAACGTTTGAAGGTTTTCGTGTCACATGATCGAACCTCTGAGCTCAGCTGAGTTGACCGCCCTCACGCCATGTGCATGCTTCCAACAATGTGCCAGGCTATTGTGGCCGCTGCATTGCAAAATTATCCTGGACGCGCGCGTCTTTACGCATGATTTCATCATTCTGAAGATGGGTAGTCAGAGGAAAGATGTGAGCGCTATTATCGATTGCGAAAGCATGAGCCGCCTGCAGGCCACTCTCGGATTCATGGCAGGTGGATAGGTCACCCACACCAAGAGCGGCAATTTCACGGCCCCCATTGTCTCCACTGATTACTGCTTTGATCACAAGAATCAAGAGCTGGAGACTCTCGTAAACCTACTACGGAGTCCGGGACTCGCGAGCTGAAGAGGTCATCATCATCATCTGCCGCATCATCCTCATCATCGTCATCATCATCATCATAACCGTCTTCATCGTCGCTTAGTTGACCACACAAACCTGGGGTGGCGTGTGTTTGCACAGCCGCGTTGCCCTTTTATTGATTGCGTGCCTTAATTTTAATTCGATTGCGCGAGTGTCAAAAATTCCGCAAGAATCATCCTAGTAATGAGATAATCAAAGTAATATATGCAAATCAGTTATGTTGCCAGCTTATCAAAAGCGGAGTGCCCCCCCTTGAGTCTGAAGAAGTCCATTTATTCAGTTAGTGGCAATACCTTGCGCAAATGGCGCGATGCAAATGACAGTTGATTAGACTAAATTAAGAAGCTTGTTCCTCCCTGACCTTGTCTGAGTTTTATGTAAATGATTTTTTCTTGCTTTAATGTGATAAAAGTGCGTTTTATTTAACACCCCGGCCTTTGTAAACAAGAACAATATTTTACTTTAGAGCAACAATGGTCAGCCTCAGATAACTCACTCTG